TCCAATGTCATCATATTCCTCGACTTGCTCATTCTGCCATTCTGAAAATTATTCATCAAATGCAAGGAGTTTTACATCCATTGTTTCAAGGTTTTAGTTGTGACAGCACAGATGCGATTGGAACATGTAATGACACCTTTTCCACGTAAACTTTAGTATTTCACATTATTTTCAGATTTGCCTTCCTGTCCGATGCCCATCTCTATCTAACGTCCTTGAAAAAAAAAGGCCACATCCATTGCACTTCACCACAGCCGCCCTACCTTATACCTTGTGTATATCCTTCCTCGTCCCATCGCCACAATTCGAAAACATTGTAGACGAGTTGCTGCCGATTCGGTACGGCCACCAAGCAAAAAGCGTGAGTGTTCTGGCCTTAACCGAGAGGAAAGTGAAACTTGAAAATTAACTTTTTTCCAATGCTTTTTTCCTGATCATGCACCTCACAGAAGGTTTGAAGACGTGACCCAGCAAATTACACTTTTCAGCAAATGTTATTATTTTCACTAAGCATTTTGTTCATATTAGCAATAAATGATACCTTTTTCCAGCTTATCCGCAAGGACAGCATGATTCCTTTGGCGAAGTACTACAATGAAAGTTGGAAAAGCGTCATCTCCCCATTCAGGCAGGTGTTGCTGAAGAAATAATAATTTATCCTTTTTTGCCTTGTTGGCAATTTCGAAGAAGTCGTCGTGCTTTATGATCCTCTTGCTCCTGAGGTCTCCAAGGACAGCATCGACGTCGATGAACTTCAGGTCTTCCGAATTGCTGGCTAGGATGTCGGCGACACTGCTCATAGATCTTCTTGCCATGCCTCATGGGAGACTTGAAAAACGAGCTCCAGACTTGATGGACAGCGCGATAGACGTTGTGCGATAACGTTTCCTTATCTTTTTTGGGAATAAAGACCTGGACGGAGTCGTCTCTTTAGAGTTCAGCCTAATAATTCACATCAGTATCACTTGATTAAAGAATACACTAATTTCCTGATATGGCGGCGATCATTCCACCCTCAGATCTTTTTCCTCTATCATTGGACATTGACGACTATGCAGGAGCAGTAGGCTATGCAGTAGTAACCCTCGTAGTTCCCAGTCACGAATGCAAGCAACTGTTTCCGTCATCCTTGGAACATTCCCTGTTGTGTCACTCATAGAGTCATAGGATTCCACTCGAAGCATGGCAATGTGAGAAAGTGATGCAGGTACCCAAAATATCAATGATGAGATTCCAGCCTAATTTATGGCTCCTCGTTTTGATATGTACTAACGACAGGTTGCTTGGACACCTGTTGGATCAACAGGGTTCTCGACGATGCTGGATCACCACTGGAAAGAACATCACGGACTAACTTTAACAGGAAATTCGGATCTATTATGAAGTCCTCTCCAGATAGAGCTTATCTACCTGTATAGACGGAGACGTTATCTTGCTTCGTTTTCCCCGTCGAAACTGATGAGAGTTTGATGTCACCACTAACGCTTATTCAGCCTGCAGACCTTAAGATCTTACTCGTGTCGTCTGGTTGATGTAGCTCTGTGGAGAAACAGGGCATGAAGAACCTGATTACCAAGAAACGGCTTCAAGTATAACTGTCTAAGAGGTTTTTGGGGGTGCAGAATATTCGTCTAAAGACGAATATTCGAACATCCATTTTCTGAAGTGGCTTTTCACCAAAGGAAAATTCGCCGAATGTGTTTCCGTTGTACGACAAGTGTGAAATATCATGGAACATGCGAAGTAACATGAAATACAGAAAAAGAGGCTAAGCAGTCGAAAACTTCATTAACTGTTTTAAGGAAAAGCTAAGAAGATGGCATCATCATGAACAAATGAACATTATGAGCACTCCAACAGCTATTACGAGAGAAATGATTGAAACGCTCTTGGCCATGAGTAGCATTGTATGCGATTTGGAGACGGTACCTCGAGACTGCAGGTGCAATAGAAGTGAGCACCTAGAAATGTAAGTGAACATGCGCTGCGAGTATGACCAAATAGGTATAATGGGGTAAGGAGAACGTTGCGCAGTATTTGCGTGAATACACAATAATACTACCATAGGATGACAATTTAGTTTTTTGCACGAAGGCTATTCACCAGCACTCACATATCATGCCACGAAAAATTTCTAGAGTACGTCCAGCAGATGTCCAGAAGGCGTTCCATGAGGCTACGCATATCATGCGGAACATCTCTATCTCTAGTATCTCAGAACATCCGCTGCGGACATCCAGCGGATACGCATAGGATGTTTTCTTGATGCCTGAGACCCCACAGAAAAGAAATCTAACACTGCCGATAGGTCAATGCATTGCTTCCATGAAATCAAGGTGGTTTCTGTATTACCCCTACTGGAGATGGCCATATTTCCCCATGTTGGCTTTGATGACAGAGTCGACCACACTGCCGACAAACCGCAAGTGAAAGCGCTAGCGCTTTCCGCAAGTATTCTGGAGGGACCTCAGAATAACCTTGAACAAATAGATCCTGAATCCATACTAGCGCTAGGAAACATACCCTTAAGTTTTTCCATGTTCACATTAGTTTCTGGGTCATGAGTTGAGCAATCACTTCTATATACATTTCAAAACATTGATTTATCCCATGTTCTTGTACGAACTAAATTAATGCACTAGGCATAACATTTGAAAAATTGCATGTATTTTTCAAGAGACCTGTTTTGAAAATTCCCCCAAAGCTACTCAGTCTGTCAAGGGTTATATTGTTATGGACCATATTACCCTATGGCCATATTCCCCTAAATGATACCTACGGATGAGAGATGGCCTGGCATCGAGTTCGCACAACTCATCCGTAAGAACTTTTTTTTTCCGCGTATCGGGAAATTTTCATGCGTTTCATGTTTCCTGATGTAACCGTCTCTCACGGTTTCCCACCCCATAGGAACGATTCCCGTCTTCTTACAAGAATGGTCTTCATTCTGAACCGTTCCACTAGAAAATGCGTTTCTACTCAGATCTGTGAGGCTCCCCTCCGTCCCCGCTTGGGGCAAAATTGCGGCTCAGAGAAGCAAAACCTAGGTCTACGATAGTGTTCTGGGTTGGCTGAGGGCCACGATTCGAATCAGGCCGATCGAGTTTCAATTCAAAATAGTCAACCCGTGCAGGCTTCTGACGCGCAGGAAGACAGGAGGACCCATAGAAACGACGTTTGCAGCGCACGTTTTGAACTTCTGACCCAATAAGTATCGCCTCGAATTCATGAGCTTTCGATTGACACTTCAATAAATAACATCCGTACATCCTTCTACGAGAAAATTCCCGGAATGACACAGATTAGCCTCTTACGTAGTACAATACCCACTCCGACCCTTGCCCGAAAGGTAAGACTTGAGAGAGGAACCCATTGCCCAAGTCGAGAATTCCGAGTTTCCAACATTTCTTTTCGCGCTGATATATAGGGTCCCACGTAAGCGGAAGTTACTACGGTTGTGAAATACCCCTTCACTATATTCACGACGATAGCCGTTACTGGTGTGTAATGAGTTTCAGGTCCCAAACCAGGACTCTTTCGCTCTCTATGGGATCATGGGCCAGGCAATCTGCGTCTGCGAGTAAATGTAAAACAATGAAGAGCCATTGGTGTAATCAGACTTTAAGAATACTTCCGGAGAATTCGGACATCAGAATTAGTTAAACCTTCGGTGATGATGATGGGGAACGATGATGCGACAAAAATGCGGGAATATTTATTCACCCGAGTCAAAAATTTATTAGTTCTATGACTGGGGTTTTATATTAAGCAAGGCATTAGACAAGTGAAACCCACTTCAATTTCATACATTTTCGATTTGAAATTCTTCATTTGGTTTTATTCCTGGGAATTGATGAATCTAGCTATGTTTTAAATTGATATGGCCATTTGGCAATGCCCCAAAAATACGATTGCGAGGACGGAGCGCATCTCACTCACAATAGGTTAGTGGGATCGTTCGCATCTTGAAGGCTTATTCGCTCATGATGAGTGCTGCTGAGGTTCTTCTAAGTCTGAACTGCGTCGCCGACGCCTTCTCAAATGCAACCTGCAACGTAGCCGACGCAGCCATCTCTGCTGGTTACATTCCATTCCCTCGTACCTGCAAGCCAGATCGCCATGGGACTCGCATCCGGGAGCAGAAAGTCACAGAGAGTAGATATGCTCCAGCATATAAGCGCTGGTCTTATCGAAGCATGATGCGTCATAGCAAGTCACCTACAGAGGTTGTGTTCTCAGTATTAATCATTTTGTATGATGCGGTCGTGTCAGCAGAACTGCTTTTAATAATTAACGAATGCATGTTTTTCTAATGGAGAAAATTATGCTAGAATCATTGAAAGAAATCGTCGAAAGCTATTATGGCTCTAAGGCCTCCCTGATGTAGGTTTTTTGTATGCACTCAGAAATCGGTAAATCGAGATGAAATACTTCTCTCAGTTTTCGCATTTCGATTTATTTTTCTCAAGAGAAAAAGACATCAACTGGATTTTCGATTTATATCTCTCCCTTCCCGACCGTGCAGGGTCGCCTGAAAGGCGTTCGCAAAACCCAAATGCGTCTATAGCTGAGTCGGAAGGGAGTTTTGAATGGCCTTACATCTTCTAGACACATGTTAACCTCCATATTCCTCTTCATCGTGCCGATGAAGCCCCCCTCCTCCCTTCCTCCCTCCATGAACCCTCGGGGCAATGCATTGACAGGCGAGGGATTCACAGGCAACCGCCTGAATGCATGGCCTCATCGCCACTTCACCTTCTCTCCGACTCGTGCGAGTAGCTCGTGCGTCTGGAAGGGATTCCCATGTAACCGCTTTTTTCATTCTTCGAGTCCAGTTTCATACGGTGTTTGTATTCCGATTGGTGCGTTAGTGGTGCAACACGTATCGCCAATATGAGATCCGACTGTTAATTATATATATTTAACAGCCCTTTAAGAATACATGGATTCCTATGGGAGAAAAAGAGCTCCTTCGCTAAAAGCCCTATTGTCTCCCCTGAATGAGGTTCGTGTATTCGGGGTTTAAGCTCAAAAACCACTATATTCCCACAATAGGATATGCAAGGCAAATTTCAATGTGGCTGAAGTTCATCACGAAATTTTCAATGCGGCAGAAACGCAAAATACACCTGATATATACACGCAGAATCACATTAATTCATTTTCGTCGAGAAAAAAGTTGTCTTCCATGTGATGCGTTTTTATTGCATACAAATTTCGACGCGATGAAGACGCATCACATGCCGGACATATTTTTTCGCAAGAAAAATGCATCGAACTCTGGCACTGAATTTTCTGTGTATACTGTACTCCCAAAGGTATTTTCAAAGATCTAATATCAAGGGGAAAATATGCTAATGGCTCTGTTCTTATAGTGCATTTCACATTCTCTACAAGTAGACGTGGAGGAATGTAAAAAAGAAGGTTGACTTCCGATTATATAAACATTCGAAACATGAGACAGTTACAGGCTGATCTTTGAAACACTGGCAACTTTGGGCTAGCGGTGACCCGAAATCAGCTTCCAATTTTAGTCCTAAGCGTGCATGGGATGTGAGAAAAGCATTTATCTCTGTACCACAGCTTTCCTCATTGTAATATGTTTACATTAACAAGTATTTTTCCATTCCACTGTGAAAATTCAGCTTTTTATGTGAAGTAATTGATAGTCGTTTCGACCACATTTTTTTATCTGCATGATAGATTGAATCAATCGGTTACCTCTTTCAAAAGGGACACAATGGATCGTAATTAATTTTATGTCCCTATTAGGCAATACTGCAGACTGAATAGTTAAACGCCGACCCTCAGCAATTTGTGAAGGATATGTTCCGAGGCCTGTTTCTCGGTTCAATTTCAGTTTTCGAGTAATTAGAAGCAGCATGTGGGGGTCTTGCTCCAAGAAGCTTAGTTTCTAAGTAGATGAAACAGTTTCGAGAGGGAGATGCGAAGTCTCTCTTCCTAAAAAGTTAATGTAAGTAATTAAATGATTCGACTAATTACAAGTAGAATAAAGTTGGATAAAATATATTCACTAGATTCAAAGCTGAAATTTTACATAAGAGTAGAATAAACATAGGTATTTAGGTTCTCAGCACTTCGGTGTTGCTGTTAGAAATATGTGTCGTAATGATTTCCGAAGACCTAATGCTCCCCGTTTACGGATTCATAAAAAAATGGGCCCAACTGTACAGTATCGTACTTCTTGGACTGATCGAATGAGAGAATCTCACTAAAGGGATCTGAATTCCAATGACGCATATATGCAGGGTGATTCAAGATCGGCGTTGCCACGTCAGGTGACGGCATGCGAAGGGAAAGGACGGGAGGAGGATGCTTACATTCACGGCCGATGCTTTGAATTTTCGTCTGGAGGGATTCTGCCGAGCTCAGCAGGATGGAAATCGGGGTCCACAGTTCCATGGTTGGATTCGGCTCGTGCAGCCGCCTTCCGCATCATGCCACGTACATGGTTCATAGGTGAGTTTACTACTATAATTATGATTTTCTGGGTAAAAAACAAGTTCTGTCTTTTGCCAGAACTTGACACATTACCCCTTCATTACCCCTTCAATAGAGTGCATTGCAAATTGAATATCAGGGTGGTAGTTCGGTCTCCTAGAGATTCCATTAATGGGCTTGTGATTGCTCAGGTCCCATCCTCTTAGAATAATGCACGAGCATCAAACCTGACAATGATAATAAGTGCAAGTTCAACCTGCAGTTCAATTGCAAAAACTGTACTACAGGATTGCAAAAACTATACTTTACGACTCTAACGAGAAAAGGACCTTCTCGTTTCCTTTCAGGATACGTCACCTTGACGGGATGCGTGTGGTGGGGGCTGGTAGCCCTAGAATTAGTATTGGTGAGCGGGGCTCTGGATGAGGACACTTCCATTGAGGAATGGCCTACAAGGGGTTTCTCCAACGAGAACTTCCCTGTCGAGCATTTCCGCACTGGAGGTTCTTTCGAGAGTTTTCCAACATACGATTCACCTACTTACGAATTCCCCACCAGGAATATTCTCCCCGACGAATCACAAAATGAGAATGTTCTCAGTGCGGATTTGCCAACCCACAACTCCCCCGCCCAGGATTTCCTCCAGACGAATCTCCTCTGTCCTGACGAAGGCATCTGCGTCGTTTCCCAGGATTGCTCTGGTGAGTCCATATCTATCCGACGTTCGTTTTATTTCATTACCAGCGCACCTTTTGTAATTCACTGAAATTACATATAGATTCTTACTGTCCTCGCATCCCCATCTACTTGACTGAGCGGCAGCGAATGGCATAGGGCTTCACTCGTTGCTATGGGCTTTCTTGTTTCTATTTACTGTAGGCTCTCTCCTCTTTGAGCTGCTGTGTCAGCAAAGCATCAGGCCAAAACTCTTCATGTGCACGATGATCAATTTGCTGATGAACATGCCGTCCGAGAGGTAATAGGATGAGAGGTCATAGAGGATGCCATTCCAATTGATTCAGAGAGTTGCATCTCTGATACAAATGGGAACATTTTAGGAAATGATGTTAGTACCTATAATTACAAATTTCGCTGATCCGTAGTCTCAGCACAGTCCTATCTTTGAAATGATACGCTGAGATTCCGCATATAACTGAGAGAAGTCAACTACTGCTCCGTAGGTTCAAAGTCTTTCCATTAGTCGAATTAAGGATTACTTTAACGCCGTGTTTTCTTCCTTTAACACGTGTTTCACTAGAAGATTTCCTTTATCGACAATACCTTGTGTCGCCTGTATAATATGTTTCTGGATGATATGCAAAGGACCAGAAGCGATTTTTATTTGATGCCACACGAAAGCATCACAAAGCCCATGTAGTACACCACAGTGAATCAACATTGGTTCATCGTTTCACGTCAGTGCAGCTAACGTTGAAGCAACATTGATCTGTCGTCATTGATTCTATATTGAAAGTAAATTTTTGTTGGACAACGGTGACGTGAACAGTGTATCATTATTGACTCAATGTTCAACAGCAACATCGCAGCGTTGATTCAACATTAGCTTATCAACGTTGGCTCCATGTTGAAATTCCAATTTCTTCAACCTTGAGATGACGTTGAATCAACAATTGTTCAATGTTGAAATGAGACATGTCTCAACGCACTTTTTAGTTCGTGCGCATGAGCCATTGCATTGCTGAAGTATTGCCAATTTCATCTCGTTGCGATCTCAACCCTCCGAGGTAGTTCTTCCCTCACCAAAATTCCCCTTACCAAGCTCAACATGAACTCGATGCTGACATGAGAAAGAGGCATCCCAGCAAACAAGGCTACGTTGGATCAACGTTGTATTAACACTCCGAACGTTCAATTCAATGTTGATTCAATATTGATTCAACTCTGTTTCAATTGTTTCCTGGGATCTCGTTCCCACGGATGCATACTCACTACGAAGATTGCAGTCAAGTAATAGGAGACTATTATTCAGTATCCTTCCGCGCGAGTTGTAGGATCATGATTAAGAGTTTTCTTTGAAGTCTGAGAGACGGGATCTCATGGATTCACATGACCACGTTTCCTTTCTTGACTATTACCATACTCAGATTTACCCTCTTCTTTTAAGTTGTCTCTTTCGTCGAATATATTCAGTAAGTCAAGTACTCTCCCAGCGGCGTCTGGGGAGAAAATATAATGCACTTCTTCAGAAATAATGGGGACCCATACCGATTGCATATACGAGTATATACGGTAACTCGCTGTGTTGGCAAATCTTCGCCACCTCACTTCAGGGTCAAGGAACCTTATTTGCTCGAATGTTTCGCCAAATGTCTGGCACAATGCCAGTTAAAGTAACGTTGTGCGAACAATGCCTTCGCAATATTGCAATTTTCAACGTCTAGCAAAAGTCTAGCCAACGGCTATTCGAGGTTGATTTCAACATTGATCCCAAACTGAAGTTTAATGATATTTAAACAGTAAGCATGGTTCAATTTTTTCGCGTACTATTTCTTCTTCAGAAACCTAATTCGATACGTGCCAAATGAATTTAGCATAAAGAGGCATTGATTTTAAGCAACCAAAAGAAGCAGACACGAGTGCGAAACACTATGTTTCGACCCCACACCATCAACATCGTCCTTGATCTACTTCTGCATCAATAATAGGGGGACAAATTATTTCATCCGATACTGTCTACCTTTTTTCAAATATCATCACAGTATTAGAACCTCATCGAACAAATTTATCGAAAGACCGACCCTCTGGAACATAATTAAACATTTTTTCATGAAAAATGGACTGTAAGGAGTTCGCCCGAGGCATAAGAATTAAGACCTCAAGCCTGAATTCGGTATGAGAACAGAAAGCGTATTTCAAGGGATATCCACAGAACTGAAGAATGTAATTCTTACTTTAACCCTAATCTGGGCAAGGCATGTTATTGACAAAAACGAGCATAACAAACGCTAGGATCATTTGGACTCGCTTATTGATTTATTTTCCTACAAAGCAAGTTTAAAAAATCGTTTTTGGGGCTCTTTACTTCATTGTCTATGAAAAATCTATCCGAAATTCTCAGATTAACTATTTAAGTTTAGAGCCGTCAAATGTTATGATGTCCTGCACTCATAGTGCTTTAAAATCACCACCGTCGCAAGCGTTCAGGACAACGTCCACTGAGCTCCTTCTGTGCTGGTTCAAGTGTTGCATTTACAGCATCAAGCCGCCATAAAAAATGAACGTTCCATCTTTTCGGAGAGCATATTACAAATCATCCACACATTAGTTCCATACATACTTTTTTTAATACAGGACCCCCCATAGCCATGTGATTTGTAGCCTTCTGAATTTTGTTTACGCCTTGTAGTGAAATCAAAGGGGACGATCATGATTTTTATTTATCCATTTCACTTTTGGCCTTCAGTGGCGTCAACTGAAAATTTGAGTCCCTGTTGCTTGTCTTTTATTGGCAATGGGCACTGGGGAAATTACACCAGTTGACCTATGTGTTTCCAAGCAGCATGTTTATGTCAATTTTACGTAAACTGAATGTAATTTTTTGTCCATTTTATATCTATTTTACGCAAACCATCATCAAGATAATGTCAACATGGTGGCAGAAATTTCACCTTTGGAATACATAAACGGTGATATAAAATGTACATACATTTTACGTAAAATTGACATTCCCGTTTACATCCCAAAGAGCATGTTTACATTCATTTTACATAAAATTGATGTTAATTTCCCCCTAACATTCATGCGTATTTAACGAGCTAATTCGTATTTTTGAAGAGAGTTCATGCGCTGTATTTCTCCCGTTCCTTTCCATACTTTACATCTCAAGGTTAACTTGGACGAGTACACGTGTACAGAAGTACTCATCCTCACCAGCACTCAAGAGTACCAAGATGACTCACTAGTTCCACCTTCCGTACCAGGACCTCGGAAGGCGGAATAGATGTTTAGAGAAGTTTTCTTTCATTAAGGATAGTGAAGGAAATGGTATTCGTGGAGTTGGGATTCGACTCTTCCCTAATCCCGTGCACTGCTATAATAACAAGCTTAGCTTCAGCATTTAATGATTCCCTGAGTCATATATTATTTTAAAAATATGTAATAATTTCCTGCTTTCCATATAGATATTCATGGATTGCCTACTAAAATGTGAAAGCATGGTAAGAAAACCTGATACTATATCGGGAAAGCCAGTACTTAATAGCATTTGTAGGTGCAGGGACCAAGGGTTCCATCTAGTGAGGAATCTTGGTTTTGCAACTGTGGAATGGTCAGCTAAAGTTTCATTTAGAAAGTGCGATGTTTACTTTGTGTACATTTTATATTATGTCAGATGGAGTGACGTCTAGTTTACGCAAAATACACGGACACTTTGGTGACGTAAATATAGGAACGTAAATTTTCGTAAACGTGATGTCATTTTCATGGCAATTGCAACAAATTTACATTGTTTGCAAAAAAATTGATAACACGTTCATGTAAAGATGCTGCTTGGGTTCAGATTTGGTGGCAAAGGTATACGATTCAATCACGGTCATTGACGCATTCGTCGATACTCAAAACTCTTATTTGCTTTTAAAGCTTACGTTTTGAAAATGTATGCCACAAAGACGGCTTCAAACTTGAATTTATTCCTTGAAACATTACAATTAATTTCTCTGAACACTTTCATTAATCACTCACAACGTTATACGCGTTTTAACATCGGGGAAGTGTAAAAAAGTTACACAAATTTGCAATGGGAAATACCTATATTCGTATTTATGTAATGTTATTGGATTTGCCTTAACCCGAATACAGCTTGGTTCCAAGAAATCAATTTATAATTTTCGCTTGATTGCTTTGCTTTTGCACACAGGGCTGGAGTTGAACATAGCATATGCTTTGCTGGTCAATAATGAAACCAGTTGGACATGCGGCAGGACTCCGGAGACGGCAGGTCATGTCTGCTGCAAGGTCATACCACGTCGTGCGGCCAGAGAAACCTTCCCCTTCAGAACAGCTCCAGCAGAAAAAGACTCCGCAGAAAAAGAGCCAAGTTCTAACGAATCAACAGGTGAAGAAACGGGGAGAAATCTGGGAGTCGGAGACTATGGAAACACAGGAGGAGGCTACCAGGGCCAGCAATATCCTCCAGCGTCTTCGGGATACGGTGGGGCTGCCGGAGGAAGCTATCAAGCCCCAAGTCAGGCAGGACCTGCTCCATATAGTGCACCTGGAGGTACCGGTTATGGGGGAAGTCCAACATATGGAGGGCAAGGAGGAGGAGGAGGTTATCCTGCACAAAGCAAGCCTTACACAGGAGGATCGGATTCTAGTCCCCCATCAGGTGGAGGATATGGTGCAACAACGTATGGGACCTCGGGAAATGCCGGTGCAGGATATGGAGGCTCTCCTGGAGGTTATACCGGAGCAAAACCAACATATGGTGCGGGGTCAAGTCCTATTCCTGCAGCGGAGGGTGCATATGGAACAAAAAACTACGGAGCAACTGGAAATGCTGGTAATGATTATGGAAACACGGGAGGAGGATATTCAGGAACAAATGCACAATATGGAGGGGCACAAGGAGGAGGAGGATATGGAACAAAGAATTACGGAGCATCTGGAGGTGCTGGCAGTGGCTACGGAAGCACTGGTGCAACCTATCCAGGAGCAAGTTCATCATACGGTGCAGGGTCTAGCGCTACCCCTCCTTCAGGTGGAGGATATGGAACAAAAAACTACGGAGCAACTGGAAATGCCGGTAGTGATTATGGAAACACAGGAGGAGGATATTCAGGAACAAATACACAATATGGAGGGACACAAGGTTCAAGTAGTACTACTGGAGGAGGATATGGAACAAAGAATTACGGAGCGTCTGGAACTGCTGGTGGCGACTATGGAGGCACTGGTGCAAGTTATCCAGGAGCAAGTTCACCTTATGGTGCGGGCTCAAGCGCCACCCCTCCCTCAGGTGGAGGATATGGAACAAAGAATTACGGAGCATCTGGAAGTGCTGGGAGTGGCTATGGAGGCACTGGTGCAACCTATCCAGGAGTAAGTTCGCCATATGGTGCTGGGTCAAGCGCCACCGCTCCCTCTGGTGGAGGATATGGAACAAAGAATTACGGAGCATCTGGAAGTGCTGGGAGTGGCTATGGAGGCACTGGTGCAAGTTATTCCGGATCAAGTTCACCTTATGGTGCGGGGTCAAGCGCCACCCCTCCTTCAAGCGGAGGATATGGAACGAAGAACTACGGAGCGTCCGGAAATACTGGTAGTGGTTATGGAAGCACAGGTGGAGGATACTCAGGAACAAATACACAATATGGCGGGGCACAAGGTTCAAGTGGTACTCCAGGAGGAGGATATGGAACAAAGAATTACGGAGCGTCTGGAACTGCTGGTGGCGACTATGGAGGCACTGGTGCAAGTTATCCAGGAGCAAAATCACCTTATGGTGCGGGCTCAAGCGCCACCCCTCCCTCAGGTGCAGGATATGGAACAAAAAATTATGGAGCGTCGGGAAATTCTGGTGGTGATTATGGAAGCACAGCCGGAAACTACCCTGGGACAACTTCACCTTATGGAGGTGCCCCGGCACCTAGCCCTACTCCAACCGGAGGGTATGGAACAAAAAATTACGGAGCATCTGGAAACTCTGGCGGTGATTACGGAAGCACTGGCGGAAGTTACCCGGCAACAACTTCGCCCTATGCGGGTGCGTTAGGTACCAGTTCCAGTTCCAGCGGAGGATATGCACTCAAAAATTACGGGGCATCTGGAAGCGGTGGTAGTGGATACGGAGGCAATACTGCAGCATATCCGGGAACAACTTCTTCATATGGAGGGGGCGCAGCCACAGCTCCTGCTACTGGTGCAGGATATGGAGCAAGTTATGTTGGATCTGGAACTTCTGGTGCAGGATACGGCAGTACTGCTCCTGTTTATTCGGGACCAGATAAATCATATGGAGGAGCAGCTCCCGGTCAAACTTCAGGTGGGGGATATGCAGCAACAAATTACGGAGGAACAAGTTATGGCGCATCAGGTAATACTGGTGGTGGATACGGTGGCACATCCGGAGGTTATACTGCTACAAATCCGTCAAGTGGTTCAAGTCCAACTCCTGGTGGGGGATATGGAGGAACGAATTATGCGGGATCTGGAAGCGCTGCTGAAGGGTATGTAGGCACTACTGGTGGTTATACAGGAACAAATGCGCCATATTCAGGAGGACCAAGTCCTGCTTCTCCGGGAACCGGTGGATATGGAGGAACAGGCAATGTGGGATATGGAAATACTGGTGCAGGATATGCAGACGCTGGTATAGGGTATGGAGAGAGTGCCGTAGGGTATGGATTCACTAGCACCGGATATGGAGGCAGTGGTGCAGGATATGGAGAAATTTCTGGAGCATTTGGAGTCGGGGGTGCATTATTTGGAAGCGGTAATTCAGGATATGGAGACGCTACTGGGGGTTATGGAGGCAGTATTACCGGATATGGAGGCGGTTTCCCAGGGTATGGAGACGTTCCTGGGGGATATGGAGGCGGTAGTGCAGGATATGGAGGCGGTAGTGCAGGATATGGAGGTGGTAGTGCAGGGTATGGAGGCGGTAGTGCAGGGTATGGAGGCACTCCTGGAGGATATGGAGGAGGTCAAGTTGCATCGGGAGCGGGATATGGAGGAACAAACTATGGGTCACCAGGATATAGTGATGGGGCTTATGGAGTCAGAGACGGTGGTTATCCTCGCGCAGAGGACTCGTACTAGGTTTTAAGGTTTATTATCAGTTCCTGATCAATACACCAGGGGTGAATTTTCCAAAATAGTATTTTCTGAATTATTATCATACTCTTTAGTACATTCTAGAAGTTACTTCATTCCCAAAACCATTTTTTCTTTCTCCTTCACTTTCCTCTTCGTGAATTACTATCAAGTGGCCGTGTACTTTCTGCCTTTATTTGAAATCATGCAATTTCGAGTAGTATGAACAAAAATGTAAATGTTCTATTATCAGATATATATATTTACTTGTGAATATATTGTGTCCTAATATTTCAAATTCCTGGAGCTGATATGGTGACCGGAAGATGCATTAAAAAACGCATTCAAAATCTGTTTCCTTTGCTCCATTTGGCTTGCATCTGATTCGTTGGAATGAATAACTGGCCATAGACCTCCCCACTCTTGTGGGATTCTTTTCTGCGCATATGGAACATCCTTCATGACTGTGCACAGGGTGGAGAAATCAATAGATAAGTTCTAGCTTTCCCGCTTGCATTTCGCTTTTTCTGCATACTTTTTCCGAAGCGGTGAATATAAATTAGGGAAATCTGTTTCATAGAAGCTCAACTTTCAAGTGCATCTTCCAGAAGCATTTTCGTAAAAGGTGATGGGAGGCAAACCACAATAATCTATGCTGCAAAATATCGGTAATTTATTTGTGAATGTTTCCCATCGTGATGTTATGCGGTTAGGAATATTTTTATTCTTCATTGACAATGACATATTCTGAATGGTGAAATATCAAGGACATCATGCTTAGTAACGGAGCAAATAATTTTCATCCTGTGTTTTATTGGACGCTGAACTTATCCTGGCAACTAAATAGCACGCAATCATCTTCGGTGGATGAATTGTTATTTCACGTTTCGCCCAATCGTTTTTCATTTCATTAATTCCAGTTTGCAATGCCTAGCTACTTGAAACAACAAAGCCCCGATGTACCTGAGAGTAAAGTGATATTGTTCCTGAAAGGAGATGTCAAGAATTTGTGTTTTGGCACAAATCATAAATAAAAATGTTTTCCTGAGTTTGTGGAATATGAGGGTCACTCCAAAAGTATCCGAGTGGGCCAGTTGCATTTTTCCCCAAGGAAAAAACCGCAGCAGTCCCTTGAACTGCTGTCCATGGGCTGGAATTCAATGCTGGGTTCCAGGAAATCACCATCCGAAATACATATTTTCGATGTTTCAAGTATTCGCTATCTTTCTGAAAAATGTATTGTTTCTGTGGAGTTGCTTCATTTTGTCACATTTCAACCTTGTCAAAGTGGAATAATTGCAAGGTGTACAAGTGGGGTGCCTGTGGGAGACATTAGCAGAACCTGCTGAAGTGTAACCTCGCATTATTCATGGTGTTGGAGGCTTTTTAAAGACTAACTCATGACGACGTCGACGTGGCATCTCGACTATTTTTTAAATGGAAATCTGCAGTTTTCAGCAGTCAACGTCTTTGTTTCCTTTTCATTGGGACAGCCACCATCACCCTAAGTGATGATAAGGTTCAATGCCATGCATTTTTCCTACCTCCTTGTTCCGTTTCCAAGAGGCGAGACGTGGTGTTGGTGCCGTCAAAACGTCAAGACTTTTGGCTTGGGATTTGATTCAGCGAACGTACTTAGCCTCTACTGCTACTCGTCTTTCCATATCTATTCATGAAAAATTGCAGCTTATGTTCTAGGAAATAATATCAGAGAAATCCATAAGCACTATGCAATAATACCAGCTGTATATGGACCCTTTCTCTATATGGTCTCCTGTGGCTACACTTCACTTTTACAGCTTTGGAATAAACTACTTAGAGCTAAAAATTAATAATTTATTAGGTGACTGTCGGCATAAACGGGTAACTTCCGCATGTACGTAATCAGTCTCTTGAGGTTTCCGGCATATCTCCAGCACAGTAAGCGCTCCGTAATTGCAAAAAATATTAGGTACTCTTTAGTAAGATACTCTTGATTTCAGCAGGTGCTAAAGAAAAAAAGACGCCTTATTTGACACAACGATGGGAGACTCTTCACATGGACAATGCCCCTACCAAAGGCAGCACAAATTGTAATGGAAGCATTCCACAAGTACTGGTGTAATGTTTTGCCTCAACCTATTTATTTACCTTATCTTGTAGCATCTGTCTTTTTTCACCAGAAGATCATTCAATGGCACGTCGCCGCTTTAAATCGACAAATGACATGCATACTCATCTTTCTTAGGGGTTGCAAGAATTAAAGTTTGGGAAATAAATAAATTAAATGTAAAGTTATCTCTCAATCCTAAGCCGGAAATGTCCCTGTCCTGTGGCAATAACCCCCACGCAACAGTCCCTCTTGAGACTCCGATAAGCTTTGACACTTTTGTATTTCAATCATGCTACACAGCGAAGTATAAACGAACAAGGAGATAAACGAATATGAGACGTACACATGGCGGCGTTTCGATCTTCATCTTTACCTGCTTATGGACCTTCGCACGCATGTGGATCTGATTTTCACCTAGGTACATTCCCTACACTTGACTGAGAAGCACACAAGTGGCGCTCGTATTCTTCCGAAAGTCCGAACTGATGTCAGGCAACATCGGATCTTAGGAGATGTTCTTCCTTTCTCTGGGATTATCTTCAAATTTATGAAACAATATCAGGTGAAAGTCGAATTATACAATTTAAATGACAATCAACGCTTCAAGAAACATTTAACCTCTGGGGTTTTGCATTGGAACGGGCAAGGCTTACGAGACGGGAATTTTCGCATGACAATAATTAAGAAAAAAATTTCTAAAAATTCCTCACAGCGGCTGCCGATCGTTATTGGTTCGGAGGTAGCTGACCGCCTGGTTTTTCACGACCTTGAAATTGCTACGATGTTTACATTTGAGAATACTCTTATAACTTCACAACGAATGATGATGAAAGCTTCAAATTACAAGTGTCTCGTAGAAAAGGCAAAATAGAATGCTATTATGTACATACTTCACATTGAGGAAGAGTTCTCGTCCTGAAAACTATATGCAAATATACAATTTAAAAGAAATTCGAGTAACACAAAAAATCAGGTATCATTCACTAGTACTTCCAAAGATCTCCAGGTTTCTACTAAGCTTGCAAAAACTTGCTGCATGCAAGCAATGGGCTACGATAGCAAGCAAGATTAGCACATTTATAATATTTTCTGCAAATCGGCTAAGATAAATTCACGCTCCAATGGCATGCTTAATTCTTGCCTATGACGTTCCGTGTAAAGCTCATGCAAAAATTTAGTTTTGGACCTACGATATGGAGGCTCCTTTTGCTGCACTGGGGACGGAAATATCCTGATTGCCATCCGTTTCACTATCCGGCCGCTCTGAAAGTACAGTATTTCGACTCTTCCGACTTGAGATGATTGCCGAGAGGAAAGTTAATTAAGGTGATATCATTTGAAAGCATCGCAAAGCCACGAATTTGATATCAAAGTATAAGTACTTTTGGTAGGCCGTTTACCTATATGATAATCGTATTTCATTGCAGAAAGTCATTTTATGAAAACCTTGGAATAATATTGATGCAAATTTAACATTGGTGTCACTAATGGTGTTTGTTCATGCTAGTTCTTCGCTCCATCTTGTGGTATTTAGGTGGGTGGGACTGTGAGGAAGTATCTGACCAAATAATGCAGATGATGATTCAAGCAGTTGTGCGGCATTTATGTGGGGATAATCCTGGTATCAGAACACAACGGGTATTTACAGATGTTGGGTTCTATCCGGCAAGTTCAGGAAGAAAACCCCAAAGAACAAACCGAAATTAATGGAGATTAAGAGTTATACTGGAAGATCCAATGTACGATGCCATCACACCAAACAAACGAAAAGTAACGAAAGGATGATGAACACAAACTCAACACATGAAACACAGAGGAACAGACACAATACCAAGAGAAACCCCCCCCCCCCCCCAAAAAAAAATAACAACATAATAAATAGGAAAGCTAAAATGCCCAAATCCTCCCTTTAGCCCAGACCTACCCAGCACGCTGCACTCTATCCATCCACTTGTGATTCCCCTCTCTTTCCTTATCTCCCACTTCCTGATCCCCCTTTCCCATCGAGGTTCCGCCTTTTAATCTAACGGATTCCTTATTGGTTAGGGCCTCTTATATTGGAAGGCGCCATTGGATGGAACTGGGAGGTGTCGTTGACATGGTTTATTCGCTGGGGATGAATCATTATGACGCCTTCGCCAAGGGAATTGTTTTTAGATCGGGATGCCAAGATACTCGATCTGGAGAAGGGTTGTTCGATTTCTCAAATGAGGAATTACTTTGTTTGGGTGAGGGGTCTTATAATGAATTATAAAATAGATAGCGTTTCCCTCAAGGGTAAGAGGGTAATAAGGGGGGAAGCTCTTTTTTAAGGATTACAGTTGGGTCTTTGTCTATCTCGTCTTAGGCCGATGAGGAAAAGTTCTCTGGCATCCGGCACCGGGTCCCTGGGCACGACATCTTGGTACCATGAAAAACATCTCGGGCACCGTTGCAGGGAGTTCATGGTCGCTCGCGGTTTCTGGGACCGTTGCATGGGGTTCTTACACGCTTCACATTCTACCTTGTTCCAATGCGCTTGAAAAAGCGATCTGATTCTTCCGACGGAGGGCGTCGATGAGAGACGAGAACGCCTGATGTCCGTGAAGGAACATTTACCTTCTTTCTCCCTCCGCTTTCAAAGTCGAAGCACTCGCAGCGCTAGGTCGCGCCCTGGTGCTCCAGGTCTCGTAGAACGACGTTCAAACGTTGATGAACTGGTGGTCTACCGAGTGGCGGTTGCTGGTGTCGCGCATTCCAAGAGAGTTTCAGGGCAGGTCGGCACGATTAAATCGACTCGATACCTTAACACTTAAAATATTTAAATAGACTAGGTTGCGACGCATCAAATCGAATAAATAACTTAAGACATCCTTTAATTGTTATCCATTTTTGTCAAGGTACGCCACAACGGCACTTGCAATTACAGTCGTTAGCCGACTTCATTCCTTCTCGTGAAGATGAGACATATTTTTGAAGATTCCATGTATAGATAACTGTATTCAAACCGGAGGACCTCGGTTGCGAAGCAACCGAGTTACGGAGGTAAAACATAGAGCGTGCACGATTCTGGCCGCTAGTTAGGCCGAGCGACAATTGTTTCTTTGTTTGTTTGTGTGTGGGGGTGTGTGTGTGTGTGTGTGTGTGTGTGTGTGTGTGTGTGTGTGTGGCAGTTCAACAGGCCAAAGGCCTGGGTATATGAACTTGAGGATTCGACAAAACTCTTCCTTATCATCCCAGTATGTGCCTTTTCAAAGTGAAATTTCCAAAACGGCCATAAGAAAGGGAGGGAGTCACGGAAAATCGGAGATTCGCTCTCGTCTCGCCATCTCTCGGAAGAAAAAGTAGACGAGAGTTGCCGCTATAATCGCCAGAGAACGGTGGCATCGCTCGCGGTGATACCTCCCCCCTACCGTGGAATATCCTCGGATTTTAAGCATCCATGATGAAATAGGGGTGATATATTTTGTTCAACTCCATGCGCATTCGCCTCCTTTGCTCCATTCACTGAACGGGTGACGAAGATAATAACGGGTGAATGAGACCTGCAGGGAACGGTCGCCACACTAACAGGGGTCGCCCCCTTGCATCTGGCTGGCCATGTGACAACACAGGACGCGGCATGAGTACCCTTAATTTCTCGGTCTGCCACTGCGCTTTGCTAATCGTCATTACGACGAGGGGATTGGACGGGGAACCGACACCAAGCAAAGATGAAAGGCGACCGAAAGGTCAAGGCGTTACCTCAAATTGTTGCCTCGTAGGAAAATGTGGCATGTGGGCTTTTTATTGGCGACATCACGCTAATCACATCGCAACCCGCCGCGCTAATTCTGAACGTTAATGACCTCATGCCACGCTGCGTTTACCTCTTACTATGGCGATGAGAGAGCCACTGGGCTAAGAAATAACTGGAGATGGCACACTCATTGGAACAGTATAGACATGCGTGCTGCAATTGAAAGTCATACTTGTTGGACTCATGGCCCCTAGTCACCTTTCACTCGTATTGCATTTCCCAGATTTTTCAACCCAAATTTCTTCTAAATTCTAACTCTTGGGAAAAGAGCCCAGACCCAGCAGGCACTATAGGTTCTCAGAAGAACCAGTAAGCCCAATCGAGTCGTTTCCAGACTTTTTATTATCATGAATATGGGTCTAATACTTCAGTTTAGGATAATTGCAGATTAGAGCGATTGAGAATAGATGAACAAAACGCTGCGACTCACATGCGATGTGATCCAGTGTTCAAAGCAGACCTGCGGTGCGCATTGTCGGCGTAAAGGAGCAGGTACCGAGGGATGATCGGATCAACCCTATTGAATACTTCGGCATGCACTGCCAAGACCCGCTGACACTTTTAAAATGCACAAAGTGGTCGCACTGTGTCTTCTTTAGCCTGTGTTTGCCTTTCAACATTTTCTTCGTCAAACGAAACAAAGTTCGTTTCACTTCATGCCTTAGAAGGATGTAAAAGAGGTCGATCGTGATGATGCAAGGACGGTGTAACGTTATCACCTTCGTAGGCCAATAAACCTGAGGAAAGGCAGGCCTGGAACTTGAGGCCTCAGGAAATTGGAGGTAGAGAAACCAGATGGTCACGACGCCGCCGAAGTCATCTTTCCGATAAAAGAGCAAGCGCTCCTGTGCCATATACACTCTTAGAAAATTCCGAGCGTTTGGGGGGTAAAACGTGAGCACACCGTGAGCTTTTCGAATTTACTCTCTTAATACTCACCAAATACTCCCTCGTCGCTCATATTGAATTGAACACTTTGAAGTTCTTCTCCAGGCCACTAGATGGAGGTAAGGATCTCGCTTTCGCACAGTACACAACAGTTCCCTTCTCTCTTTCCATGGAATCGTCCCTAGCGGGATTGTTTAGTACCTTGCCATATGTCTCGCCTTTTCTCATCATAGGAATCAATAAACACGGACACTTCATCATTTGTTATCCACATAATCAAGACATATTCATGTTTAAGCTATAAGCAAGCTCAAATTCCTATAGAGAACCCTTTTGGAACGCGTAT